CTTCTTTGCGATTTGTGTGGGAAATGTAGTTTCCCTTCCCAATCGGCTGTCAATAGAAAAGAGATATACACTATAGCTATTTCCAACTTGTGGGACGAGTGTAACTGTCCAACAGGATTGGCTGGGGCCCCACAAATAGCGCGGTGACGTCATAATCACGCCGCCGCGCTTGATGCCGTTATAGCACCCACGTGAGCCACCGACACCAATATGCGGCCTCGAGGCGGCGTTCTTGGTGGTTGGTGGCGTGGAGGCGTCTGGCAAAATTGTCTGTCTCTCCCGCGGTAGGAGCAGAGACGAGACGGCGCTCTAGTCTCTTTTTCCCGTGACTAAGTCAGTGAGCGGAACATATCCATCCGAGGTATGCTGATCGATCGTAAATAGATAGGAGTGATATCTCCTCTTTCTATCCTCTATGAAAAACATGACCCATATACCTCGGTGATCAAGTGCTGTGTCCCTCCTCCCTTTGTCCATCTCTTGTAGACCCTTACTGCGCCGACTGCCTTTTGCCCCCCGCTCGAAATCGGGGTCACTTGATTCTCACTCCTCATTGGCACACTGGGAAGGACCACATGGGACTTGCCGTCCGGGCGGTTTTCGCTTGGGAACACTTGCATATACCTGCATGTGCAAAACTAGCAGGTAAGATTTGACCCAATTCACCCCCACTTGGAATAGCAACTACGATAGATATTACATCTAATGTTTTTTCTACACTATGCAGATATCTCCCTTCCACTCCTGAAGAAGCGCAGAGTTGCGCGAAACGTTGAAGCTGCTCTTCCCCACCCCTACCCTTCATTAGCAGCTACCATCGACTACATGATCACTACCTAGGCCCTCGACACCATGACATAGTAGGAAACTGTTGTCATCATCCTGGTCCTACTACTGGATTGAGCTTCACAAGCACTTTTTTATATATTTTTCTTGTTTGGAGTTGTCATTTATCCGGTGCCTTTTAAAACCCCACTTTCTCTTTAAAGAACTCTCTTTGTGTATGCGTGTAATGCAAGACCAGCAGCCCTGCCTTGTACTACATGAAGACGACAAGGACCTGCCCACAACCTAGAGCGTCGGAGAGAATGGGAGAGCACCAATTGCCTGGGGAACTATTACAGCTTATTCCTCTACCCCTAGACTTAACAAGCACTTAACCCTTGCAGGGGGATGAAATAGGAAATATATATATATATATTTCCTCCTCTGCCGCTCTGTAGCTGCAGTGAACAAGGAGGAGAAGAATCAGTTTCGGCTCTTTCAAGCACCTGCAGCTTCCTCCGCCCAGCTCAGCTGCCATAGGCTGGGAGGAAGCCTGCAGAGTTACTATTGGACAGGCAGAAAGTAATGCAGCGCGGGACGTGAAAAAGAAAGTTTTGTGCCGATAGATGGGAAGATCTCTGTACCGCCCCCCCCTTCCCCACGACCACCAGGAGAAAGAAGAGGGCACCTGAATACCAGCTAAGGGAACTGTAAGTCCCTTTTCTTTCTTCCTTTTACTGCTGACCTCTGCAATGTTCGTTACAGCGCTGACCTCTGCAATGTACGTTACATCACTCACCTCTGTAATGTGCGTCACAGCACTGAGCTCTGATAATGTGCGGCCCCCCCGCTGGCCTTTGTACTCTGCGTCACACCGATAAACTGGCAGAGTTAAGGGCAGGGTAGGGGTTAGTTGGGGCAACTGGTGGCGAGTAACTCTTAAGGCCTGGCTAGTAGCTCAGGACTTACATATTTATTTTTCTCTTCGACATGAACAAATGTAAGTGTTTCTAAAGCCATTTTTTAGTTTTGAATAGTGTGTTTTGTGTATTTATTCTGTATAGTTGTGTTTTGATCTATACTGTAGAGTGTTATGTGTATGTGTTGTATACTATACTATACTGTATTTGTATCGCTACTACTAGCTGGGTTTGTATCTATACTGTATTCAGTATCTAGACCCCTTGTGCCTTGCCTTACTCATGAGCTTAAACCAATGCTAATGTCTATTTTATAAAATGGAGATTGCAGATTTCATCACTGAACATATGACTGGGGTTTATTACCCAATAAAGGAAGCTGTATTAGTTCTGTTATACATTTTATGTATGCAGGGTCACAGAGCTGGGGGAGCTATGTAGACATTTAATTTGCCTATCTCAGGACTCGGCGAACTGGTATGAATGATTCTGTATCAGTCAAGCAAAAGGTTTTATTTTTAGTTCTACAGTGTCCAGTCTCTGTATTAATCTTGCCTATGGGCCCTGGTTGAGGTTGCCTTATCATTCTACCGAATTTACTGCCAACATGACGAGTCCTTCCAGTGAAGCAGCCAAGAACTGTTAACATACTAATAGAGTTTAAATTTATAGATTTGATTTTAAAGAGAACCTGCTTGTAGACCTTTGTCATTATTTAAATTGTAATAAAGGGCCGCCTTACCCCTCAGGGATTTCTTGACTTCCTATTTACTTGTATTCACCCTTTCAGAGCAGACCTGTCTGTAGGCCATTCCATCTCCTGCTGGAGGTCCGTGCTGGTAACTGTCGTATACAAAAGGTGCTGTCAGGATTACTTGAAAGGAAACTAAAGGCTTTGCACAGTTTTACCCCCTCCAGCAGGTGGCGCCCTTATATGCAATGCAAAATACCATATAGTCATTCGCACTCCGTTAGTAGGTAGCAGTCAATCTTCTTTATTGACTGAACATGATGTCACATACACAAAGCACAGCTTATAAAGATGGCAGTCAATCTTTATTGACTGAACATGATGTCACATACACAAAGCACAGCTTATAAAGATGGCAGTCAATCTTCTTTATTGACTGAGCATGATGTCACATACACAAAGCACAGCTTTGTGTTAGTGTGTTTTGTGTATTTATTCTGTATAGTTGTGTTTTGATCTATACTGTAGAGTGTTATGTGTATGTGTTGTATACTATACTATACTGTATTTGTATCGCTACTACTAGCTGGGTTTGTATCTATACTGTATTCAGTATCTAGACCCCTTGTGCCTTGCCTTACTCATGAGCTTAAACCAATGCTAATGTCTATTTTATAAAATGGAGATTGCAGATTTCATCACTGAACATATGACTGGGGTTTATTACCCAATAAAGGAAGCTGTATTAGTTCTGTTATACATTTTATGTATGCAGGGTCACAGAGCTGGGGGAGCTATGTAGACATTTAATTTGCCTATCTCAGGACTCGGCGAACTGGTATGAATGATTCTGTATCAGTCAAGCAAAAGGTTTTATTTTTAGTTCTACAGTGTCCAGTCTCTGTATTAATCTTGCCTATGGGCCCTGGTTGAGGTTGCCTTATCATTCTACCGAATTTACTGCCAACATGACGAGTCCTTCCAGTGAAGCAGCCAAGAACTGTTAACATACTAATAGAGTTTAAATTTATAGATTTGATTTTAAAGAGAACCTGCTTGTAGACCTTTGTCATTATTTAAATTGTAATAAAGGGCCGCCTTACCCCTCAGGGATTTCTTGACTTCCTATTTACTTGTATTCACCCTTTCAGAGCAGACCTGTCTGTAGGCCATTCCATCTCCTGCTGGAGGTCCGTGCTGGTAACTGTCGTATACAAAAGGTGCTGTCAGGATTACTTGAAAGGAAACTAAAGGCTTTGCACAGTTTTACCCCCTCCAGCAGGTGGCGCCCTTATATGCAATGCAAAATACCATATAGTCATTCGCACTCCGTTAGTAGGTAGCAGTCAATCTTCTTTATTGACTGAACATGATGTCACATACACAAAGCACAGCTTATAAAGATGGCAGTCAATCTTTATTGACTGAACATGATGTCACATACACAAAGCACAGCTTATAAAGATGGCAGTCAATCTTCTTTATTGACTGAACATGATGTCACATACACAAAGCACAGCTTTGTGTATGTGACATCATGTTCAGTCAATAAAGAAGATTGACTGCTAACAAGAGTGCGAGTGACTGTATGGTATTTTGCATCTGATGTGCGGAGGCATTCGCTGTCACTTTCGGCACACCCCTAGTTTTCATTTGGCTTTATAGGTCAGGAATGCGATGGGATCTACTACATTTTGCCCTTATATGCAAATCAAAACTTCTATGTAATAAAGCTCAACCAGCGTTAAAAGCAGGCAGCTAAACATCAGGGTACCACATCCCAGACTATGACGACAGAAGTTTTTTGGAAACGGATGGACTTTTAAGGGAGCCACAAATTCAATAAAAATACAAAATTGTACTAAATACATAAAAGAAAGCTTCTTGCATTTCATAAAAATATTATATAGCATTAGCAACCTCCAATCTATCTGTCCCTCGCAGAGCACCACTCATTAATAGTCAGTTTCATCATATGACATAGATTAAAGAAAACCTTTCAAGAACTTTATTAAATAACACCGGAACAAGATGATTACACCCCAGATTGATATAATAAGTGATAGATAATATGCAAGGTATTCTCTGGACTTCAAAGCCAATATTACTGCTTCTTCAGGAGAATGGTAAAGGTTTCTAGAAAAACAAACCCCCTCTGGGGAAATTCACCATCTCTGTTCTGGTGATTCAGACAGAAAGTGATGGAAAGATTTTGAGTTCCTGTAACTAGCATAGAGGGGGCACTTCTTGGGGTGACAGCTGTCTAAGAGAAGATTTGTCTCACTTTGGAGACCTTTCCAAATCTCTCCAACGGGACACAGATAAGGAGTAAAAAAAACAACCTGTCAGGGTTTAACTAGGGATACACCGATACCGGTTTTTCGGTATCGAGTAAGAGTACCGATATTTTTCTTTCCGGTACTCGTCGATACCCAATACTGATACCAGATGTCCCATTAAGGAAGCCAGGCGGCGTATAAAAGGTTTTGTCTTAAGATGCACTTTAATTTAAATGTTATTATCAATAAGTGTTGTTCCTTTATGCTATGGTATTACATATGCAGACACTGCTTCCAGCTTAGTTGTTCTGCACAGTTAGTCTTGCTGATCTTTTTTTTTTATCCAACTGCAGACCTACCTGATGATAGGAGTGGCCCTCTTAGTGCCTGCATATGTAATAAACTGAGGGTGACTCCCACCATCCTTTTAGGTCTGCAGTTGGATAAAAGGATAAGCAAGACACCGAACTATGAAGGACAACTAAGCAGGAAGCAGTGCCTGCATATCTAATGAACTGCTTCGTGCTTATTTGTCCTGCACAGCGTTGTGTCCTTCTGATCCTTCAATCCCGTGGTTCTCAACTGGTGGGCCACGACCCAAATGTGGGTTGCAGCCCCATGTTCAGTGGGTCGCCACATGCCTTTCACTATGCAAGGTGAGAGGCTCTTCTGCCTCCTCATAGCACAGCACTGTCAGTTCTCGCTCCGAGCAGCCATTCAAAATATGCTGCCCGACGCCGAGCGTCAGCTTGAGGTGGGATGGGGATATGGCAGCGAGCTCCATCCATACGTGCATTGCTTAAAGCTCCCTCACGTGTCCTGTAGAGGTGCCTGGACTGGAGTGATATGACATTCTGGCTCCCTCTCTCAGGTTGCACAAGAAAGCTGTACAAGCAATCCACATATGGATGGAGATCCATCACCGCACAGCAGCCCACACTGGACCCGAGGCTGAGGTGTGACTTGGGTCTTGACTTAATGACCGAGGACAAATGTGGGTCCCGAGGTTACACAGGTTGAGAACCACTGTTCTAATCCAACTGCAGTCCTACCAGACGGGATCTGTCTTATTTACAAAACATAATTGAAACATTCTCAAAGCTACAATTAGCAAATCACAACGTGTTTATTGTCTGGTTATACCAGCAATGTCCCCATTCATGTGAATTTAAAGGACAACTAAGTCGAGACTTAGCTATGTGTAACCAGCATGCTGTCAATATCTCCTAATGTAACCATTTTCGGCTGTAACTGTGAGTTCCTCTAACCTTTCACTGAGATGGGATGTACAGAACTTCTCTGCTTATTGTTTTGTTCTGTCTTTGAGTGAATGGCGGTGGGGAGGGGTGACCCCACTCTTTCTGCCATGCTTCGTTGCATCTGCTGACAGGCTTCCCCCCTGCGATGGCTCCAGCGCTGTCATCCGCGTCAAGGTGAACACAGCGCAGTCCTTCATGCGCTCTTCTTTTCTGTATTTTCTTATTCCAAAGTCTGCTTGTAAGAGAAAAACTCAATTTTTGATGCTGTGGGTATTTTTTTAAAATAATTTGTATCCTTTTCAGGCCCCGTTCTCATATTCGCTCCAGTAACCATATGTGCTGTGGATGTGTTTTTAGAAGTGCAACTGGTAATTGCTAATGAGTCTTCGGCATGCGTCCATGCTTGGAAATCACACGTGACCCTAATGCACCATGCAAAAGCCTGGCAGGGGGTCCCCAAATAATTGCTGGCACCCCTCTCAATAAAGCTGTGACCGATGAGGTGGGGACGAATCTACTGCTTACCTGCTGATGTCTTCCACCAAATGAGGATAAAAGAGGGGAGGGGATTGGGGCGGGGAGTAGAACAGTTCTGTTCCTTACTTTGAGAATTGTAGCTACTTTGAATTAAAAACATCTGTTAATAAAGATATAAACACAAAAATTAGACCAAAAAACATTAAGTTCTTGCACATTGTAGGCCTAAAGATGTCTTAAACCCGCTAGAACAATGTTATATACGGTGTGCATATATTATGACCAATATAATATTGAGTATGCCTCCCTTTTCCACCAAAACAGCCCGGACCCATCAAGGCATGGACTCCACTAGACCTCTTAAGGTACGCTGTGGTATCTGGCACCAACTGTCAGTAGCAAATCCCATAAGTCCTGTAAGTTGTGAGGTGAGGCCTCGTTTTTCCAGCACATCCCACAGATGCTCGATTTTAGATCTGGAGAATTTGGAGACCCAGATGGTGATCGAGCGTTTGTTGGGGTTTGCGGGAAGGGGGCTTATTTGCATTAAATGAAGGGGAACCCAGATGCTGCCCCCCCCCCCCTTTTTGAATGAGTGAGTAGAAATTGTACAAGTCAATATCCATCCTTTCTTCCAGGGATGTACAACTCCGGCCCTCCAGCTGTGCTTTAGCTACAGCTCCGAACTTGCCTCTGGCTCTGGGAATCATGCCTGTAGCTGTCAGTTTTACAATACCTTATGGGATTTGTAGTTGCACCCCAGCTAGAGGGGCTGGAGTTGTTCACTTTATTCTGTAGGAACAGAGGGAAAAATGTTCTCGGTCTGTTTTTTTTTCTCAGGTAATATGTAATGTAATACCATAATCTGACCACTAGACGGAACAGAAGAGCAAATTAAAGAAGTATTTCCAGAAGGAAGACACCATCTTTGTTCAGGCATCATCCAGGGTCAGCATCTACTTCCTGAACTGAGGTGCTGGCTCAGAGATGACGCCATCATGTAAATCTTGGTGCCTGTGCAGTTATTACCTATGTTTAGAAATGACTGACACAGATGAGGCCCTGCTGCGGCCTCTCTCCCCTTACAATGTTGCAGTTTGATCACTGTAGCGGAGATGACTGAGGAAATGTTCCCTCCTGCATGCAGCAGACTGATAACATAGTCTCAGCCTAGGCAAAGTCGCTGGGCTGGAGCTCAAGGACAGCTTTATCATGTTAAAAGGTGGAGCTTTTGAAAAATGAAGCCGTTTATTGAAGGAGAACTATGGGGTCAGGGCTTTTCCCCATAGTTCTCCTTAGGGCAACGGCAGGACACAAACTAGCATCCTCCCGTCACCCTAGGCTCAGCAATATAGCAGTAGCTCGCGGTATACTGAGACGCCGCAGCTGAAACAGATCCCGACAATTATGTCTGGATCCGCCCAGCTGCGTGAGTGACAGCCATCTGTACCGCCCTTCCCCCATCCATTCCTCCAGTCAGCGCTGGAGGATCGGGGCGGGGAGGGGGGAATCCAGTCCCTCTGCTGTCACGGCTCTCTGCAATGACGGGATCGAGAAGTGAGCAAACACTGGTATGTGTTCGATCACTTCCTAAGACATGCCAAGAATTTATTGATGTAGACATGTTTCTCTGAGGCAGATGATTGCAATGTGATTACAATGGGGTGACATCCGTGCAGAAACCGCAGAAAAAAGGTGTTCGGACGCATGGGCGGAGTCGAGGCAGGAAACCACGCAATCCGCCTGGAGCGACTGGTGTGTAATTAGAAAATAATGGCACCCACAGCGCGATCGGTTCACACCTTGGCGACTCCTGACCGCGTGGCAATCCACACGAATCGTGCACGGAGAGGTGTCGCCTAGGTGTGCACCGTCCCTGAAAGTTCCACTTTAACTAGTGATCCAGCTGATAAAAGATTTTATCATATAAAACATATACATGTCCACACAAACAAACATAAGAAAAAGAAGACCCTTTCCTGAATTACCAATATCGCATAAAAAATATATATACAAGACTCACGCCATAGATTATGAAGCCAGCAAAAAGCCTCAAAAAAAATAAAAATCAATAAATAAATAAAAATGAATTGGATACAGTCTTAATAAAACCATATTTCCATATTCCAAAACTCTCCCCCAAAATTCCCACCCTAAAGGTTCATCGAGCTATAATCAATCCAAATATCCCATTTACTGAGGAACGCATCATAATTCTCTCTACCCATTGCTATCCACTTTTCAGATTCCATAATACAATTAACCAGCCTTACCCAATCTGATCTTGTTGGTACCTTTCGGCTCTTCCAAAATCTCGGTATTAACCTCTTTGCTGCATTTAGGAGATGAGGCACAACTGTAGCTTTGTATTTAGCCTTTGACACAGGCATCAAATGCAACAAAAAGACCTCCGGAGAAAACGGGAGAGTCTCACCCAGAATGGTCTGTATTTATTCTCTAATATCTTGCCAAAAAGGCTTAAAGGAGAACTATGGGGTTAGGGCTTTTCCCCATAGTTCTCCTTAGGGTAACAGGAGGACACAAACCAACGTCCCCCCGTCACCCTAGGCTCAGTAGACCGCGAGCTGTAGCTCGCGGTCTACTGAGACGCGGCAGCTGAAGCGGATCCCAACAATTGTGCCGGGATCCGCCCAGCTGCGTGAGTGACAGCTGGCCTATCTAGAGGCAGAGCCAGCCAGTCAGCGCTGGCGGAGCGGGGGGAATCCAGCCCCTCCCCTGCACAGCAGAGAGCCGTGACAGGATCGAGAGGTGAGCGAACGCCGTTATGTGTTCGCTCACCTCCCGATCTACTGAGCCGACCTGTGACAGTCTCATTGTCACAGGTCAGCTAGAACTATGAGGTGAGTGAAAAGCACTCGCCTCATAGTTCTCCTTTTAGGCTTAGGACATTCCCACACACATGTAAATATGTCCCCTGTAAACCACAGTTCCTCCAACATAGAGGAGAGACATTTTGATACATTTTCCCTAAAGAATATGGAACCCGACACCACCTGGTAAGCACCTTATAATTGGTTTCTTGAACTCTGGAATCTATAGATGAATGATGGGCCCGCGCTAGTATGGAGTTCTCTTTTAATAGCTCCTCTTAATCTTCTCGAATAAACAAAGCTTTATTCCTGTCCGCACAGATGAACGCAGCGCGCCGCACAGATGCCTCTTGTTATTTTTGAATGTTAGTGTCTGAAATCTCTGGCTTAGCAGACGGCGTCGGCATAATGTGTTAATGTGTTAAGAGGGAGAAGATCGAAGTCATTTAAAGCGGAACGTTTCATTTTGTTTTTCTGCTCGGTGGCTCTCCGGGATTGCGGGCTGTTGATGTGCTCCGAGTTTCTTGGACACAATAGGAGTAGAACGTTTGGGTCTTGAAGACAAGGCTATGTGCCTGGAACTGTATTGCTTTTCCCTTCTATTATTTATTCTGCATTACATCTTTGCACTGTTACCATGTTTTATCACATTGCTGCTATTAGGCGCTGTGGTTTGCAGAGGACTGCTTGTTGGTTTGGGGTTGATTTGAAGGTTTTAATAAGCAGGTTCAAAGACAGAAGCAAATCTCTGGTGCTTTTCTTAAGATTATTATCTTTATGAACCTGCAGCTTGTCATACCTCTCAACTTTCCGTCTAGCAGACAGAATCTGGAGTAGTTGCCCACAGCAATCAATCATCTTCTCTTTCATTTTCAAAGCTTATCTGAGCAAACTGAGGAAAGAAGCTGATTGGTAGCCGTGGCCATTTGCTTCACTTTTTATGAATTCCCACCAATGTGTTTAAGTTAATGGACACACTCCTGCCACTTCCATAGTTATGGGGACCATTAGGTTTCATTCACACTGCTAAGAGCCGGCCTGTACAGATCTGTGTGGCGTGCACGGCCGTATCGAGCCGGGAAGGACGTGCGATTGTACACAGCTGCCTGTTCTTCTCTATGGGAGTACGCAGCGGTACACCGCCGTACGCTCACCCGAACTACACATGGGTGCGGGCGTCAGTGCTCGGACGCAGACGGGATCCATCCTATCTGTGTACGAGTAAGGACACACGCACGGATGTGCAGTTCGGGTGAGCGCACAGCCGCGTACTCCCATAGATAAGAACAGGCTGCTGTGTACAATCACACGCAGCACCTGTCCTTCCCGAAAACAGCTTGATACGGCCGTGCACGCCGCACGGGTCCGCATGGGCTGGCTATTAGCAGTGTGAATGAGCCCTCAAAGTGAAACTCAACTCAGGAGTTAAATCTTAAAAATACATTCAAGTACCTTAAAGGGGTTCTAAACCCTCCGTTTTTTTTGCCTATATCTACTGCTAGCATGCAGTAGATATAGGCAAGAAGTTTAAAAAAAAAAAAAAACAGCTTGAACTGGTTTTAAACTTACCTCGTTATCGCTGCTCGATCCCGCGCCGAGAATCGGGAAGTGATCGTACGGCCGCAAAGGATCTTGGGGCGGGCGCATGCGCAGTTCCGATTCTCGGCCGGGAGACGAGCAGAGACGCAAGGTAAGTCTATGGACGCGTGCACCCGCATGCAGACACCGCTGGATCGGAGAGAGAGAGCAGTCAGCGCTGGATCGGAGTGACGTCACACCGCTGGAGGGACACATGAAAACATGGGGAAAGAAGAGGAAGATCAGAATAAGAGACATCATTTGAGGTAAGTGCTAACATTTACATGGGGGGGAGGGGACATTTTTTTTGGCTTTAATGTCACTTTAACTATTACCAACAATGTATCTTATTTGTGTGTCACTTGGCTGTAGATCCTCCAATCATCTCTGAATTGGTGCTGACACTGTCCTTCCTTCTGGGGGGGGGGCTACTTTTGTTCCCCATGGTCCCTGTGTGTGTTGTAAAGTAGTCACCGCTCCAAGCTCACTCCCGTGATGGACTACAATCTCATGTTTGGTTCACTTATATGTATTGACATTTTATTCCATCACAGGAGTGAGCTTAAAGCGGTGGCTAGTTTTTTGTTTGTGTTTTTTTCATGGTCACTCAATAAATATTCAGTCTCGCATCGCACAAGTGGTCAAGTGGAGAATGGAGAGCAGCCAAATACACCAGCCTGACTTCTATAGGGAATACTATCAAACCTGTTAATTTGCAAGTCTTCCAAGAAGGATTGTCTGGGGGGAGGGGTGACCATAGACCTGACTGGACAATAATCCTCTTAAAATTATTAGTACAGGCAGTCCCTGAGTTACAAACATCCGACTTACATACGGCTCCTACTTACAAACAGAGGCTATTACTATACAGCAGGGGTAGTTGTAATGCTACCGCGCTCGTGCCGAGGAGTGCCCACCTTTTTGCGTCTGGATCGTAGTACTGTACGTACATTGTTAGATGTGCAGACGAGGGGTGCCCGCCTCTTCTTCCGGGTCACTGTGAGGTTTTTACTGCTGTCTATATCCTCATTAGAAAGATTTAATCTAATTCCTGTCCTTGAGACAACAGGAAGTGAGAGGAATCTACCCCTAGGAAGCGAAATTCATGTAAGAGTGATCATGGGAAAAAGGTGTCTCCACTGAAGCTTCATCACCAATCCTTGTGTCCACGACAAACCAAAATTTTCAAAATCCAATTGTCACAGGGACAGAAAGTGAGGTGAAATCTTCTCAACAGGGCCACATACAGCAAAACAAACTTTACAGGGGGTAAACCCTTCACTATGCCATCCAAAACAAAAGAAAACATTTTTTTTGGCTGGAGTTGCACTTAAAAAAGTTACCTGTTCCAACTTGCATACAAATTCAACTTAAGAACAAACCTACAGTCCTTATCTTGTTCGTAACCCGGGGACTGCCTGTAATTTGCTTTCACCAACATGACATTCTAAACTGACATTGTGTGTGTCTGATTTTGGTGTACATTGTGATTTTAGTTTTTTCCTTTTTTAATTTTTATACAGTATATCATTTTCTTCTAATGGGATTAACAAACAGAATTTGGTGATATCTGATTAGTCGTTCAGGTCTAGACATTCATCTTCCCGTCAATGTTTCTGCTCATGTATTCTCCAGACACGTTTGGGGAAGGTCACCTATAAACATGTGAGACGAGAATGTTCACAAGACAACCTTCATTCCTGGTCTTAATGAAGTTGTTCGCTGATAAGATGGATATCTGGTGATTGTAGGATCTGAGTAGAATGCGAATTTCCGAGCTTCTGATATTCTCATTCTGGTATCAGGCAAGATGCATGCTCACAAGGAAATGGCCCATCCATTCATCATCCTTTTCATAAGCTTCTTAACCTAGATTTTCGTGACGTGATTATTTCCAGATGCTCCTTTTATCTACACGCATTTTGTGACCTAGCCTGGTAATTAGCCTACTTATTCACTAGAAATTTGTGACATTAATGTGGAATCTCAATTTAGTATGAAATTCTGATATTCCTAGGACTCTGTAAGACTAGAACACCACATAAAACCCCCTTCACTGTGCTGAATAACCTTCCTCGGGACACTTAAAGGAGAACTATGGGGTTCAGGGCTTTTCCCCATAGTTCTCCTAAGGGTAGCGGGAGGACACAAACTGGCGTCCTCCCTATCACCCAAAGCTCAGTATACCGCGAGCTATACTAAGACGCCGCAGCTGAGACAGATCCCGACATTATTGTCTGGATCCACCCAGCTGCGTGAGTGAAAGCTGGCTCTGCCTATCTGGAGGCAGAGCCAGCTGTACCCGCCCCCTCCCCCGTCCGTTCCACCAGTCAGCGCTGGAGGATCGGATAGGGGAGGGGGGGAATCCCTGCAGGGAGCAGTGAGTGACTGTCACAGCTCTCTGCAGGGACAGGATCGAGAAGTGAGCGAGCGACGGTATGTGTTCACTTCCCGATCTATTGAGCCGACCTGTGACAGTTTCATTGTCACACGTCAGCTCAAACTATGAGGCTGAGTGATTTTCACTCGCCTCATAGATCTCCTTTAACAGTTTGCAGAAGGGTCACCCTTTAGTGTACTTGGCTCAGCCTAGTGTTTAGTAGTGATTGGCCCAGGTGGAATTCGCCAAGGGTTTGGTGAATCGTGCTTGAAATTCGGTGAACACAAACTTAGAGGTAAATCCCATTGAAATCTATCGGAACAAATGTTCTGAGCATTTTTAGGGGCTAATAGGTAAATTACTGTAAAACAAAAAACCTGGGACAATGGGCACTACCATGGGAGACTTGTACCAGTGCAAAAAATACCTTGCAGAAGGAAGCGGGTCTTTTCATGCAGCTTTGGCAGCATTGGAAATACACGAATCCATTTTAGGAATGTTCAGATACCAATTTTTTAAGGGACCGTAATTTACAGGGGTACAAGTACTCCTAAGAATGAGATCCTATAGGTTGGACTTGATGGACTAATGTCTTCAACCTCAAATACTATGTAAGTACTGTACTCCGTACAAGTACAGATACTTTTCCATCTCCAAGACTAGACTAGAGAAAAATACAAAAGTTAGGAGGCAGCTGTCATTTGTAAGGAGCACACGGAGCTCCTGGGATTTGTACATCTCTGTTTTATTGTATGATTTATTTATATATATAGTGATGCACAGAAACTTTTTTTTCAAGCACAGGTACTGCTACTTGTCCAAGTCCTCACAGACTTAAAGTGACATTAAACACTCAGATTTTTTAACATAAACCAATACTGTAATGTGTGCCTTACTGTAATCCATGGTTGTTTCCCTTCTCTTTGCTGCTCTTAATTTTAAATCCGTATCTCTTCTCATGCTGGGGGGGAAATTCCCTTTGCAGCTGAGTGCTTCTTCCTGTAGTGTTGGCTCAGGTTGTGAACCTACACACAGACACCATGTATCCATTTCAGAGACAAGGCTGTCTGCTGCAAAACAGAAGTTCTGCCCAGCATGAGAAGAGTTAAGGATTTAAAAGGAAGATGGCAAAGAGAAGGGAAACAACCATGGATTACAGTAAGTTACACATTACAGTATTGTTTTATGTTAAAAAATCTGAGGGTTTAATGTCACTTTAAGTACGGATGCATTTTTGTTTATCGTCATGTAATATCGCAGAGGGCGGGTGCAGTAGCCAGCTTGCTATTGGATATTGCAAATTGAAATAGCCAATAGGAATCTAGCTATGCATTCCTATGGCGTTTGTTTTTTATTTTCTTTTTTCTGACTGACGGCGGGAGGCGGCTCCGATGTCAGAAAAAAAAACAGAGCAGGGAAAGGTTTACTCTGCTCAATCGAGCAGAGTAAACCTTTCCGGGAGAAAGTGTTTCTCCCAGATAGCGGCCGGGAGCCGCTATCTAATGGCTATCTAACGTAGCAAAATTACAGCGATAAAGGAGCAACGAAAATGATTTTACTCTTAGGGGTCGCCACAACTTGGGAAATTTTATCAAAGGGTCGCGGCACTAGAAAGGTTAAGAACCCCTGTTGTCATTAAAAGCCCTTGCTTACCTCTCTATCTATGTTCATTGAGAAGTGCATGAAGCTACTAGCCATTGCTTACCTCTCTATCTATGTTCATTGAGAAGTGCATGAAGCTACTAGCCCTTGCTTACCTCTCTATGTTCATTGAGAAGTGCATGAAGCTACTAGCCCTTGCTTACCTCTCTATGTTCATTGAGAAGTGCATGAAGCTACTATGGCAAATGTGTTTGGCCGAAGGATCCCGTTCTGCCTTTCAGAACGGGATCCTTTTTTGTTTTGGCTTTCAGGAGCCAATGAATGGTCAATAGGATGACAGATTTGTGATCAATTGTAATGGCAAATGTGGTTCAACAATGAGAGACCTGGTCTAAATTATCATATGACTGTGTTTGTTGTATTCTTTGGAGCATTAGAAGATTTCATAACTGTGGAGCACTCGATGACGAAATGTGATTTCTAACCAGCCGGGAGAGAGACTGATTCGGCAAAGGAGAGTATTTGCAAATTAATTTGATTTGTGTTAATGCCATTTGAGGTAAAAGAGTTGTAAAGTTATAACATCAGCATTGTAATAGGAAAACATACTGGAGTTGTTGTTCATAATGCAATCAAATGTTTAATGTCAAAGTGAAAACAATCTCTGCAAAGTGATTTTAATGATTTATTACAATAAAAAAAAATTGAATGCAAAAGTATACACCCCTTTTATTATGACACATGTAAATCATCACTGAGGTTCTACAGCAGGGTGGGCAAACTCTTCAGCTGAGGTGCAACTATAAATCCTTTCAGGCACTCAAGACCGTGACTGCTACAGGCATGACTCCCTGAGACAGATGCATGGTGGGATTTGTAGTTTCACCACAGAGTTTGCCCACCCCTGTTCTAAAGCCTCAACAGTCCACCCAGAACTGAAAAAAAAGTTGGCTTTAGATATACTTCCAAGTAAGACGTATGACTTCTGTACAATGTAATGGCAAACATTGAGAAGAGCCCTTTGTTATATAAGGGCAATCAAATCTCCGCACTCATTAAGCCGGTCTGGTCTTCTAGCTGTAGAGGTAAGCTGATTGTTTGCGTCCATTCCACTCATGCTCATTGTCATCTCTTTGTGCCAACAGTGGGAACTGCTGTGGTTTGCGATCCTCACCTTCACCTTCTTCCTCACCCTCACCTGGTTTTATTTCTGGTGGGAAGTTCACAATGACTACAATGAGTTCAACTGGTGAGTACAGCAACCGTTTTCTCCAGTCTGCAAAACCATTACTGAACATCTGTGAGAGATGGAGTTCAGAACCAAGTCAGTCCTTTGGCCTGGGCCATGGTGGGAGGTCACTTTGTTGCAGGCAATTTAAGGCAAGGATGTCAGAATTATGGTGTTTTGGTCTATTTATGGAAGTGTGATGTCAGAGTCTAAATCAAGTGCTCCCCCATCTCCTTGTGGCCCATACTTACAGTATTATATGGGTTTTGTCACATGATACCACATGGTCCTCTTCATCTTCGCCTTTTTTCTGGCCTGGGTGGCCTATACTGATACAGGGAGCGGTGGTGATGTTGGCATTGTCCTCTGCATTAGTACATGGTTATTGCAGGGTACTTTTGTGGTGCCCGCTGAGGGCCATGAAGCCCTGAACTCGCAGTATGTGCTCAGTCTTCCAGGTTGAGTGAAGCTGGGTGGCAAACAGATTTGGATAAAAGGAAGATCACCAGCGCTCAGAAGATTTTGGTCAAATCCTTGTGTTCATGTGTCACTGTTGCCCGGATGAAGGGACCCCGTGTGGCCCTGAAACGTTGGCTATATTGATATATGTGACGCTGTTTCATCATAAACACAAGGATTTGAAAAAAATCTTCTGAGTGCTGGTGATCTTCCTCCTATCCATGTTTGACGTGCACGGCGCCATCCGTGATTATCACTGCAAGCACCTCCTGTTAATCCAAGGTCATGAATGCTGTAAGGAGTGCAGGGGATACATCTATACATCTACATTGGCAAACAGATGACATTTTGTGGTGGGAAAGAGGTACTGCAAGGGGCAGCCCCAGGTTAAAGGTGAGTGTTGCAGCCTTTTTAATTAAGGCTGAGCCAACAAAAATAGCTTGTAGATGGGCTTTAATCCAACGGTTTGCAACTCCGGCCCTCCAGCTGTGCTTTAACTACAGATCCCAACATGTCTCTGGGAGTCATGTCTGTAATGCTTCCTGGGACTTGTAGTTCAGCTGGAGGGCCAGAGTTGCCTACCCCTGCTTTCGTCCCTTCTGATCCATGCTCTTAGAGTATGCCATCTATAAAAAAGGGAAATATAGGTGGAAACTGAAATCCAACCTACTAATGCACGAAATCAAAACATGTAATCACTACAAAACCAGGCAGACTACACCCAGTGCCGTTGTGCGTAGTGGGGTGTCTCCACCACAGATCACCCTGTTACCCAACAACGCACGTAGCTCCGTCACTGCAAAATTCTTGTAATAATTGCAAAAAGTTCCCACTTTATGGACATCAGTGGAACCTTTAATAAATACAGTATGACCAACAATAACGTGTGTATGTACACCAATGATCCCCCCCCTTTAACAACACAAACTAAAACTCCCAATTAGTAATATGGAATAGGTCTCATAAATAATAAAGTTTCCAAATGTTTAAACTAGGGCTGCAACAACTAATTAATTATAATCGATAATGAGAATAGTTAGCAACTGTTCTCATCATCAATTATTTGACTTTTGATTAGTAGCCGCCGCTCTGCTCCTCCCGTTCTTCTCCCCGCTGGTGCTGCAGCAGTCTGTGTCCCTTCCAAACCACTTAGGTTAGGTAGGGAAAACCACTGCAGCCGGCACCAGCTGGGAGAAGAGACTGTGTTTCTCTGCTCCCCCATGCCCCCTCTTCTGCCAATGTTCTATCAATCCCTTGGACTTAAGGAATTGATAGAACACCATCCTCAGCAGCTGAATCCAATGAAGTGGAAAGGTGACACTAGGTGTTTCCCCCAACCCTGCAAACGCATGTATACTAACGGAGACACAAGTCGGGTGCACCTACATGGAAAAGCGACGATTGTGCTACACATGTCGGGTATTGTCGCGTATTTAATTTTAAATTAAGTTATGGTATTTTTTTTATCCGATTAATCGATACAAATAATCTGCTAACCAATCGATTATGAAAATAATCGTTAGTTGCAGCCCTATTGTAAACATACAAATGCCCCATGCCTGAAACCCCTGTAAACACGTGATTATGCAATTTCAATGAAAGGGATACAATCTAAAAAAGATCCCGGCAATGAGTCCAAGTAAACAAAGCAGATGATTCATCATTGGAGTTCCATCCAGAAGACAAAATGTGAATCAGTCCACTGCGATGGAATATATTAAAGAAACCCATAAGGAGATATTGGGGCGCATATGAAAGTAGAAGCCTTTTAAATGTGTGTACATAAATGTTCGTGTTAACGGACACTCAAATACTCTTCACTGATGGATTCGTCGATGACGTCCCTCCTGTTAAAACCCCAATAAACACACAGACTGCGCGACATGGCTTTAATTGGTCACAGCAGCCCTTCTATTAACCAAACAAAAATGAATCGTTACCAAAAGTAATGAACAAAATAATATACAAATAAATAATCTTAACGACTGTTAGATTTGAGAAGGGGGTCTTTGGGTGCCCATCAGCCCAAATAAGGCCCCTAGTAAAAACTGCTCCCATGTCCCCAGCCAGCTCGACGACAGTTACTGCTCCCAAGTTCCAAGGAGCCAGGCCCCCCAACAAATACTGTGTTTCCACCACATATCACCCTGTGACACAACTCCTCACGGATAAGCGCTAATGGTCTTTAGGGATATATCATACATCCCTGCAACTGCGTGTTCCGCTTTCATACAACTGGTACCGGTATCATGATTAATTGCATGTATGTGATCATAACGCTTGCCACATCACATGAAGACCTTGTGCGAGTTGCCCATAAAGTGTAATATAAGTAAAGATCTCACCCAGTATCTGTATGTAGAACATTCCGGGTTCCCAATGAGAACGGGATCCAGTGCAGAGCGAAGGATCACTGTGTCCACCGTTCAAACAAGTGTGCCCAAGGGCCGCAGGTTATTTCCTGTATAGAGTATGGGGGGGACACCCAATGAGACCCAACCCGGTATGCTGTAACCATGTTCTCACTCTTAAAGTATACCTAGCATCATATATTTTATTTATGTTATCTGCATGCATGCCAAGTAATGTGCATCACTAACTAGAGCTCAAGGATGGCTTTGTAAAGCTGAAGTCTAGGTTTGTTCCTGTTCATTGATAACATGAGGACAGAGTATGTTTACTATAACCGCAATTATGAATGAACAATTCATTCATAATGGAGGATATATTAACCATACTCTGTCATCATGTTATGTACAAACACTCAGCGATCACTGACTGCTGGTACTTGCTCTCTTTCCTGACACGCTGTCACAGGAGGCTGGGCGAGCGGTGCGGGAGGAGAGCTCAGCCTCCTGTGCCAGCGCTGACTGTCTCCGCCCACACACCGCTCTGCTGATCTGTGATAAGAGGCTGAGCGGTGTGGGAGGAGAGGCTCCGGCCACTCACAGCGCTCTCCTCCTGCAGCGCTCGGCTGCCTGTGACAGTTTCTCTCCTCCCCGCTGGGAAACAGAGCAGCGCCCAGCCGGGGAGAAAGAATGGATGCACCGCTGTATCGGCCAGAAAATGGCACTTTCGGCATTATTCTAAAAGTGCTATTTTCAGCCAATATGTTTCCGTGGCCGATATATTGCTGCATCCTCAGTTTATTTCACCTATATTTTGCCTCTTCTGGTTCCTTCTTTTCTTATGAACATGTTAAAAAGCCGACATGATAAAGAATGGATAAAATCTTTCTTTTTTTCTTTCATTGCATGTCTTATGTTAGGTCCAGTGATGAGACCACTGGGTTTTTGTGCTACTCTATGCAATGCCGGCAGATCATGGCTGGTGGGAGGGGCCAGCAAGGTGGCTGTACATAACTTCCTGAAAGCATCACAGCACCCTAGCTCAGTACTCCTCTCAATAGTCCATGTCTGATGCAGCGATGATATGTCCTTCCGTGTCCTCACATCCTATACACTGTGTATAGAACCTGATGACTCTGGGACCTTTTGACTGCTGCGACAGAGGGAGGGGGGGGGGGGGGGGGGGGCGCGGGG